GACGGAATTACTATTTACTAGGAAGGATCGGATAATTTGGTATTGAGATCTGTTACCGTGGTCACAGCAGCAAGCCAGTGGCTCTATTCTGAACTGGATGGCTCAGATACATTCACAGCCTATATATTTACAATCTATTATAATATTTTCCTCTTATCTAAGTCTGGGCCTTCTAAATAGTCTCTTCACTTCAGGTTCTAAGACTGAAATGTTAATATTTCACACCTCTCCAGTGAGTGCCACTATTAGAATACATAATTTTCTCTACTATTCTTGTGGGATTGCACCGGTAACAGATTAATCCTTCATAGCCCAGTGGTTACTATATGGATCATGGGTTTCGACATATTAAAACTGTTATTCCTATTCACAGACCTTATTTGTGAGTTCCGTATAATTCTCAAAACAAACAGAGAGTTTTTCCTTAAGCAGTATTAACTTGATTTTTTTCAGGAGAAAACGTAATGTGTTTACTGTGAGGTACGAACTGATTTTTATAAATTATTTATAATGAACTTGACCTCCAAGGAAATACATTCTGCAGGATGACGTATTTAATAAAACACGTCATTTTACTGAGAAGATTTATGAAACGTAAGCATGATTATGGTCAAAAGACGTGGCCTATAAATTCAACACGAACCTCTTCTTATTTATTGTTGCTGTTGATTTAAGGTTATAAACGTGAACAATTTTCGAATTATTTATTACATATATGTAGGCCTATATTATACTTTACTTGTGTTTGTTGTCCCTCTCATACATATCGTTTCTTTGAGTTTAACAATTAAAAATAACCGTTTTTCTGATGAATTTTAGGAAATAAACCGGACAGATTCTACCAAATTTTCTGCCTATAATAAAATATTTGTGACATTTAATAATATAATTTCCAACAAGCCACCTTATGACGATTAATCGCTTGTTGATGTAACACCAAGATATGTTTCTGTATTGTCTTTTCCATGTTTCGTTATAACATATTCGAAAATCCGTAACATGTTTTCAAAAATCTATAATGACAAAGAATTTAACGGCGCTCAGTATTGATACCACTGACGAGTTGTTTTGGTCACTTACTGTTGAAAATAATGGCTTAAAAACAGCCAGAAACAGGTCAGGTTACAATGTCATTTTCTCCTTATTTACGTTCATGAAAATCGGCAAATTGATAATCGGGCGACAGAGGGAGCTACCTAATAAGATTTTGGAGATGAAAACTCTCTCTTGGGAACCCTGAGGACACTTCTCTCAGTTGTACGAAGAGATGGGCCGTGAACTGAGACCTTCATCTTATAAGATACGGGCTAATGCACAACTCTCTTGCTCCTACTTGACCATGACCCGTGAAAGAAAGCCAATAATCTGATAGGGCAGCACGAGGGTTTTCTTGCGGTGTAATAATACTGTCACGTGTTTGGGTAACTAAAGACGGGGTTCGGATTCGTACTTGGATTTACAACTATTTTTTCTCCTAGTTTCTTCGGGTTTTCCACTTCTAACAATTACTTCACCATTGCTCACTCTTCTGCCACCGTTACCTGAACGTTTCCTTAGCCCTGAGACATGGAGGAACTGGGGTTTTCACCCCGATGGTTATGAAGAGGTCCAACTTCTGGAATATAGCGCCGTGTAGTCCGTTGAAATTCAATTTACTTTTAGGAGAAACACGTCACCTAAATTTTCAGGGTCAAAGAAATAAGCCAAGCAAGAAATCAGCAAGAAGAATTAACGCATCTTCAGTTTTTTAAGTTATGGAACTTCAACGAAAGTCATAGTTGAGTGGGCAGTAATGCTGTTCTGTATTTCAGAGGCCCGCTTTCAAATATTCTGACTGAAGGATCTTATAGGTTTCCTCAATGCCTCCAGGCAAATACGAGGATATATATATATATCATGTTATGCCTCGAGCGCCTTCTTCTACATTCCTTCTAATTCATTATTCACTAATGATCCCTTCATTCGTTGCGTAATAATATTAGCAACTAAAATCATAATAAGGTAAATAAGGGATAAATAAATACTTTGCAGGGCTTCGTCTCTGATCATTATTTTGGTTAGTTACAGACTAAAGGGGGCACGCAGTAGCGTAGTTGGTTGAGGCACTATGGCTACAAGCAGGAAGTTCGCGGGATCGAATCCCGATGAGGTGGATATTTCAATTTACCTAATCCTTCCAGCCGCACTAAGTCCCTGGGGTCGACTCGGCTTCTAACAGAGATGAGTACCAAGGATATTTCTGGTGGTAAAGGGCGGCCGACGCGTAAGGCTGACAACCTCACCCTCATCTATGACCCGACTGTCTAGAAAATATGGGAGCCTCAACATCTCACAACCCTATGGGCCTCCACGGCCTGTTACAGTGATACCTTTGCTTTATAGACTGAACAAGTTTGATTTTCTTTCTTGTTGTTTAAACTGCAATAGACGTACAGCATCGAATGAGGTAAGGTCTGAAGCTTCCCCGGTGGCTGAAGTTAATAAAGTCTTCTCTGCCTATCAGCCCTGCCAGTTGGTTAAATAATGACAGAGGTTTCACGCCACACCCTCATGACAGAGATGGTCCCTGAAACCTCGGTGATTTTTAACCATTTGACATGACTGATAGGCCAAGAAGATTTTATAAACTTTACCATGAATAGCGTAATCGGTATAGCGACTGGCTACGGGTTGGACAATCGAGGGGTAGGAGTTCGAGTACCAATAGGGCGAAGAATTTTCTTTTCTCCACGTCGTCCAGATCGGCTCTGGGGTACACCCTACCTCCTATCCAATGGGTACCAGGGGCCATTTCCCTGGGGATAAAGCGGCATGGACGTGAATCTAACCACTCACAGCTAGTGTCGATGTCAAGAAAGTATATGTCTATACATGCAGTCCCCCTTAAATCTTCATGGCGTAGTGTTTAATTAGTAAACACAGGGACAAATTTACCTTTTTACTATGAACGATGTGTAAGGAATAACTTGAAAAGGGGCGATCCCGGGGCCGGCACCGCGTGGAGATGTTGAAGAAAGACACAAAAGCCTCAGTCGGTAAAAAAACGGTCTCTCGATCGATATCCGAATCGAATATACTGAAAAATAAAAGCGAGACGTGCTTCACTTCGCTCCCCTGGTCTGTCTCATTTAGCGAGGAAGGGAACAATCGGACGTTACGGACTGCAGGGCTGCCAATATTTCAGTTGCTGTTTTAGTGTTCTGAGACCATTAAGCGCTGACATGTGAAACCGATATAACAGACAGGAGCACTCTTCACTATAAATCATGAGGTTTCGAAAGTAGATACAATTATATTTGCCACTGTGCAGAAGGTTAATATTTTATTCTTTTGGCTTATGATAACCGTGTAGTCCTGAGATTATTGCCTTATGGGACGTAGCAATGTGCACAACGGCAGGGAGCAACCGCAGTGCCTGGGTCTGGGTGCCTACACGGCGTCATAGTCCAGAAGACCACAACAGAGATACTCTAGATGAATGGCCTGTTTACTTGCCCCCAGCACCATCTATGTTCAACAATGCAATGATTGAAACAAAGTAATGTTATGGGGAGATGTTATTGTCTCTAAGTATGGTAGATTTCTGTAATGTCTACAAAGAGTGCTGTAAGTAAGGATATATGCCAGGTATTAAAATAAATAAAGTTTATGTGTGAAAAAAAATATTTTTATGTAAACAAATTATAGGCAGAATATATTTTACATTTCCATGTTTTCTTCTTTTTTTAACTATGTCTATATGACTATTATCCTCAACTCATTCCTGTTTCCTCCTTCCTAACTAACCACTCCGCCTGCTAGAGTCCTTCTCGAGAAATTAATAGGCGTTCAGTTGTTAAGAATTTCATTTTTTATGAACCTGAATATTCACTATTAGGTTCATAAGAATCTACCATTGGGCCCTGTCTTGAGCCAGATTGATCCAGTCCATGCCCTTCCCCTTATCTTCTTGTTCCTCTTCTTCTTCTTCTATAACTACTGCCTTCCCTATTACGCCCTCTGTCCTGTTTCCCATAAGAATTAATCTGGAACTCTCGATCTTATAGACAAGTGGTAGGACACCTTCGACGGGTGATCAGCCTGTCGCAAGACTGCTGCTTACATAGGACAACACGAACAGAACGAAAGCGGACAGAAATTCATGCTTCTAGTGGGATTCGAACACAAGATTCCAGTGTTTGAGCGGGCGAAGACATTTCATGCCTTAGACCGCACGGCCACTGTGATCATTCCCTAACATCTATATCATCTTCTTCAAGTCGACTTGCTTTACGCCACCGACTATTTGAATTTTAGTGGAACTCTCACGCTAAGGGATGAGAGTGGGGTGTTTCAGTATAGGGTGCTATGAGAATAGTTAGACCCAAGAGGGAGCACGTACGGGAGAGTGGGGAATAATTATGATGCCATAACGGCCATTATTACGGCGAGATTATTCATTGCTGCATGGTCTACATAAGGGCGCTGTCAGTAACTTAGATTATGTAGCTTCGAATGACAGGCTGATTAATGAACTATAAATTTCAAAGGACGTAAAAGAAAGCAGTCATGTCCTTTTCTTGGAAGGACTGAAGAAATTCACGATAGCAAATAATCCGGCTGACAATCAGAATGCGCACCCCCACAATTCAAGGTAGGAGAGTTGCCGCTTGGGCTGATCGTGTCAAGGAGGATAAGATGGGAGGGTATTATTAAAAAGGAACTTAAGTAACCAGTGTTGGGATATAAACTGGGTACATCTGGCTCAAGATTTTCCCTAGTGGTTGTCTCATGTGGACTTCGCAATGAGCGTTCAGCTCCTATAAAAGATAGAAAATTTCTTGAAGAGCTGAGCGACTATTTGATTCTCAAAAATGCTTGCTCCGCCGATTCCGTAACAATATTCGACATTTTTTCCTGAAACAATTAAAACTCTGTCCCCCCAAAACCTGAAACAAATATTTATCTGAGTTCTTCTCAACAGAATCAGATGCATACAAAGCTTTTGCTTCTTTCCGCAGTAGTTTCCTGTGTCTGGCGGAGTGCTCCAAGCTGTACCAGAGGGACGAAAATTACAACAAGAACGTATCTCCTGGTGAGCAACATTTAAAGCAAGGGCTCGTACAAGCTCACAGTTTTCGCTTTCATATGCATGACTACACAATACTCGGGAGCACGTTCTTCAGCGCTCTTATTACTAGAGTGATTTTGTAGCACTGCAAAAGAGAAGTCAGAGTTTCATCCTCCATCTCAGCACCAAATCTTATGATAAGCAATGCATGTTGTTGGGAGTTGTTGGGATGATACCGTCTAGTTCTTAACATCACGACGGAGGTCATACTTTCTAAAATTTCCGATAATCTTAAATATTCGGATAAATCTGAAAGTATTATCCAGGAAGCCACAATTAGATTCTGGATGTCCATGCGAGTGGATGACATCATTTTATATTTCACATAAGATATCTACTATCAAACGTATTTTCTCAAGGAACGAACAAAGAAGTCCTTCGAAATAGCGATACAAGTGAAGTATCTGGGAATGTCAGTAACATATCAACATTACTCACTCTTACACTGGTTAATTAATGACACTTTTTTCTCCCTCTCTGTCTATGGTTCTACAGTCCTCTGTACCTTGGCCACTTTTTCAGTTTCTTAACATAGTCACAGTTGGTAGGATTTCTTGGACGGGGAATCAGCCGGTCGCAAGGCCGCTACCTACATACAGGACAGCACAAACAGAATAAACTCACACGCAGATATCCATGCCTTAAGAGGGATAACCACGTTTTTCTATTGTTGCGAGCGTGTATTGTGGGATGTTTATCAAACCGTTGCCTGGCAATGCGTTAACATATCACGATATGATGAGGAGCACCTGAAGATGGAAGCAAGACCATACCTCTCAAAAAGTCATGCATATCAAAGAAGTCTGAGGCAGCAGACGTAAAAAAAATATTCATATCCTGAATCAAGCAGTTTCAGAAGCACTCGAAAATAATTTGAACAATTATGGAAAGCTTATTAACGTCTTTAAAAAAAGCTGCAAAATACATAATATAATAATTAAATTCATAAAATGAGTCTGGAATAAAATAATTTTAGTGCAATTTAGTTATATGAATGAATTATGAGTGCGTCTTGTGAGACGCGAGGCCGCGTTGCTTAGTAGTACCTGTCTACCAAGCTACTTGGCGTCACATACAAAAAGACCATAATCTTAAAATTCACAACCGCAAGAACCTCAGCTATCATTACCGAAGAATATTTTCAATTTAAACCACTTTAGCTCAGATCACTTTTTAAGTGTCTTAAGTTTTCCTTTAGCAAAAGTGCGACTTATGTAGACAGTGCTTCCTTAGTTACGAACAGGGACAAATTTACCTTTAATGATGCGTTTCCGAAACGTTGTGTTTTCTAGTATTTGGAATACCGAACGGTGGGAAAAGTCCAAATCCAGTAATTCTGAGTCATATACAGCATCGTCAGAACCCTTTAGAATCTACGCCATATTCCTAATTACAAAATTTCTTCGATAACCTTAATCAAACTGAGAACCTCGGAACGGGACTATTTTGTCATTCCTGCTCGTACTAAATATTGAATTTATCTTTTATTGTGCGTATGTGATCTAAATAGCAATTCTGGTTATATTTTAGTTATCTAGAATTTAATGGTTTACTGTTATTTCCATCAAGCAATAAAATTAACTGGCTCAGTAAACCCAATTAAATTGAACGTACTAGACCTTTTTTAGGAATAGCCAAGTGGCGAAATACACGTTATATGTTGTTCATTGCACCCTACCCTCAGAGAATAACTTCTGAACCAGTTAACCAAACAGTATCAAGTTCAGTAAGAAGAATGTGACTGAAAGAACCAACAGAGTATGTACTTCCCCACCTCACCTGAGGACGGAAACAGATCAATCTCCCGAAACGTTGTGTTTTCTAGTTTCTAGAATACCAAACGATGGCCAAAGTCGGAAAACCCCAGTAATAGTGAGTGTACGATTATATTTACATAAAAACAGAAACGAGCTTTCACTTTGTAGCCTGGCGTTTGTTATGAAATTAATCAGATTCGGATATGAATTTCAACAGCACTTTTCAGATCACATGATGATGACGATGACTATATCTGTTGAAAGAGGTATTGCACAAATGCTGTTGAAAATAACTTTAAAATAATAAACAGTAATATTAAGATTTTAACAGAAGTTTGAACATGACACGGTGAATAAGAAGTAAACAATAAGCAACGTGCAACAGGATGCTGCCGCACAAGAATATAATGAGGATGAACATAACCTGCACTTGCATATTCTTTTCTTACTTTAGATTCAAGCATTAGAACATAATTTGAGCACATCTATTCACACGATCACCCTTGCAAATGTACTAATTTTACGTTCTGCGCTCACAGATTTGTGTTAATGATCTCATTACTCATACAACCGTTCAGACTGTTTCCGGGATTGTGGTGAAGCGGCCTCTATCCTACATTATCGCGGCTGTAATGAATTTTCAGGCAGACACCCACGCGCTGTACTTCCTCCCATTCAAGTGGCACAGTAATCTGTGCATTGAAATGAGAGTGCTATTCGAAGGGTCATAATTATCCCATATTGCAAGAGCCAGAATGAATTCGTTGAAATCCGTAAGAAAATGAACAAAAATATCCAAAATTCCTTATATAATGTTCTAGGATGTGACCATGAATAGACAGCCCTAGATTCGGTGTGTGCTCGTAAAAGGTAAAAAGCTAGAAGTAAAGGTAAAGGCAGAGTTGTCCCTGTGCTTAATTGATTAAACACGACGCCATGAAATTTTATGGGGGAGCAGAATTATACTAGATTCACAATAATTTATCTCCGCATTAGATGCAGGTTAGTTGTCAGCTTCACGCCCCGGCCGTTTTATCTCCGAGGAAAGAGCCTACTTTGTCCATTGGATAAGAGGTTGGGAGGACTCCATAGCCGGTCTGGACGCTGTGGAGTAATGAAAAACTCTTGATCTACTGGGAATCGAACCCTGGTAGTCCAGCCCATAGCTCGTCGCTAGACCGACTGAGCTATCCCGGATCCACGATAATGTTATAAGATGCATTATAACATCCATCACACTTATCGAATTTAAAGATATCAGGAAGGAAGAAAGATAAAACGGAAATGAGAGAAAATGAGTAGAGAAGGAAACAAATATAGAAAGTAGAAACTAAAGAGAAACTAGTGCCTGTATTTGATAATGTTATTAGTAAGGTAGCACGTGGTGACGTAGCCGAGCGGTCTGTGGCATGAACTGGCTTCGCTCGCTCGGAAGCCGGGATCGTGGGTTCAAATGCCACACAAAGTATGGATGTTTGGTATGTGCATGTGTTTATTCTGTGTTTGTGTTTTCCTGTATTTAGGTAGAGGCCTTGCGATGGACTGATCACTCGTTCAAGGAGTCCTACCGTCTGTAAAATGATCATAAAACTGGAAATCAGAAGCCAGGGCCCAAGGGGGCTGTAGAGCAGGCAAAAAAAATTATTAAGGCAGCGAGAATACTACCTAGGACAAATGTAATCTCTCTGTGAGATAAATATATTGAAATACAACGTATTAACGTGCATAAGCTTTAATATCTTTACTCTTAATTTTAGTTTTTACCAACTCCGTCCAGTGTGACTAATAAATGTTTTTTAGTCTTTAATCCTTGATATATTTCTGTCTGAGAGACCATCTTCAGAAGGATATATCAATACAGGCGGAAACAACTATTACAATGTGATTGGTCAATATCAGTACATCCAGGGGAACCAAATCAAATTTAGTTTGGACTCTTTAGAGCGTAAGAGTATTCCTGAAACAAGACGGACCATTTGGTTAGGCTTTCAGAGCTCATATCCATACTTCGATAAAAATGCAACATCTCGAGTAACAGTAGTTTAGCCAAACCTTAGTAACCAGTCTGAAACAAAATTATTTTATTAGTACTCTAGTTTTACAACTGGACGAAAATACTAAATTCCGTGTCGGTTGGAGCAATGCAATACTTGCAAGAATTTAATTCGACCTGATCTTAATTTGAAAGATATGAATGGAAGTATACAATACGTATTTATATTAATGAGTAATTTCTAAACAAGTAAGATTTGAATGAGCTGAGGTTTGACGGAGGCGACTACGAAGAATTCCTTCTTCTGGGATGTGGTGCCGTGTAGATCTTGTGAGAACCGACTTTTCGGAGGAATGTATCGCCTCCATTTTCAGGATAGAAAAATCGGCGAGCGAGGATTTTTCTATGCGATACATTCCTCCGAAAAGTCGGTTCTCACAAGATCTACACGGCACCACATCCCAGAAGAACAGAATTCTTCATTTTGGAAATTGTAATTGAATTTTTGAAAGTCAATGTTATCGTGTAAGAATACCAAGAGCAGTAATTTTCTTTTCGGGACTATTTGGAGAAAAAAAAAGTGTTCATTACTGTCGGGAAAATACGATAAATCTGAAGGTTATACAATTCAGAGGAATCACTGGGCATTTTACAAGTATAGTAAAAAAAATGATTCTTATTAACGGCGTATTAAAATATTATCAATATAACACGATGTGACGTTTTGAAGCATTAAGCGTTAGCTGACGAATATCCTCAAACCTAAACTTTACAAAAGATTCAGAAAAAGTAAAAAGTCTTAGCGCAGTAGTTCCATTGTTGACATAAAGTTAACGGTTTCAAGTTGTTTATCATTATTTGCTTCTGTTGTTTTGGAATAACGCCGTTAAATTAACATGATCTTATCACTTTCCGGCGCAAACAAGAAGGAATGTTATGCAGTATCACAACATTATACATCATAAAACAGTTCCACAAATAGCCTTCAGAATTGCATGAGTAGTTGTAAATTCAGATTCTACGTGGGGTGGTTTATTTTAGAATTTCCAGTCTGATACAAGGGTCTAAGCCTCCAACAGGTATATCACTCTATACTGGACATGAAATATTAATTACTGCGGCAAGAGGAACGGTTAATATTATTCAGCCAGAAAAGGCATGTACTTTGAATGCAATTTGAATATGAATTACTACACTCAAGTAGTTGAATAATA